ATTTATTTTGGAGCAAACTCTCATGCTTCAAYCCATGTTTGGTAAATTCACATTGTTCCAACAATGTGTACACACTTAAGCTAATAAAATACATTTCAAGAAACAGCGAAGTAACATTTGCCTTCAAGGTACACTGCAAACCTTAGAAGTCTCTTTACTAAGATCAACATATAAATGAAAAAATACTCTCAAAGCAGAGAACACTGAATCCCCTGACATGCAATCTTAAATGTACAGTGGGCAGCTATTTCACGATCCTTGTGCAAACCTGAATGTAAACCTGAAAATCCTTCAGCCTCAGTAAATGTGTGATGCAAAAGGTACATTCCACAGGTCCCTCTCCCACTATGCAGTAAGAATGATGGACACTGTGTATGGAGCTTGTTAGGTTTTTACTCAGCTAAGAGATGAGACAACCTTGATCTGCATGGCCTCTTTTTCCTACTGAGCTCAGCAGCTGTCCCCAAAGAGAGTGAAGTAACAGGAGACATTCTCCTCTGCAGAAAGAGAATCAGACCAGCTACATGGACAGTATAAAATCTCAAATCATCCCAAATGGATGCAAAACAYGGCTGACTGTCTTCTACTGAAACCMAATTGAATTGAAAGTTATCACCTTTTACAGACACTTCATCTAGAGATATTACTGTATGCAACAACTGCGTCGATAGAACTATTAATTTATGTGGGTCAATATTTACATGCTAACTTCCTAGAAAGTATTGCCTTACACACTGCCATGGAATCTCCTGCTTAGGTAGCCTATGTATCTAAGACAATTCTCATCTTTTTAATAAAACTCTATCTGGTACTTCAAGAATAGTAAAAAAAAATATTATCTGCTAAAAGGAAACACCTGCTTCAGAAGCATTGAACATATAMCTTTATAACATATATTTCACTATCAAAACAGAAGTTATAAAAGCATCAGTTGCAATCTTTCACTGTCTATTTTACTCATCCTTAATCCACTGCTTTTTCCTGACAAAGCAGCAATCTTTCAGCACACACAGTACATGACTGTTGTCACACACTATGWCAACAACCTGTACTGAATATTTTGAGATTACTACAAACCGTATGTTAGACATAGTATTTCATCCAGCCATCTACAGAACACAAATATACCTTGCAACATTAACAACACCCACCTGAAGAATATGGTTCAGCTCTCTGCTTAATGATATACAGCTGCACTAAGGTTAACCRAGTAAACTGAGATGAGGTATTCCCTTTCCACTGTATCCTTTCTTAACATCCTCATGTATCAGGCATTTACACATCCATGCACATGCTAAGAGCTCTACTATTTACACTATTCTACTCCATGATCATCTAAGTTGATAAAAGGCAACTTTTAATAGTTCTTCTCTGAAATGCAAGGTACCCCATGAGATATTTAACGTCTCATGAATAAAGTTTACWGTGAAAAAGTCAACAGAAAGTTCATGTAGAAAAAACTTGCAAAACYCAGTGCTTAGATAACACAGAATAGGGACACAGTAAGAGGTGACAAGGTCATGTTTGTCTATAAAGTTAGAAGGACTAAAAAGGCAGGTTAAGAGGTTTCAGTTTTTCTTCTTTCAATGAAGTTCTAAGCTAGCCTYCTTTCACTTGGGAAGAGATCTTGAAAACCTGAAGTGACTACTAAGATTTATTATACCAATAACTGTACTATTGGGTGAACTCTACTGCAGAACACAGAAAGGTCCTTTCTTATAAGGCTCTTAGCTGCTCCTTACTGTCATCCCCATGAAATATCATTTCCCTTAACATGCGACTGYAGTCAGGCAGACAATGAGGTTTGAGTTACTGCTGCCAAGCCCTTGCTGTGATCTTGTACAGGGCCAAGTAGCACAAGTAGTTTTCTGAGGAACTCTGGTGGCTCCAGATGTATCTGTGCTCTACAGTCTGTGCTCTTAGAAAAGCCCATTTCCCCTTTGCCAGAACAGTCAAAAGACAGTCACAGTTTATCTGATAAACTAAATGACAATAACCTGGGAAAGCATAAATRAAATACCCATGCATAAAAGCTGTGGGCTGTATTTCCATCCCTTCTTTAAAGCTGTACTCCTTACTAAGTAAAAAACTGCCTCCACTTCCCTCAGAAGCAGTTTCCAAAGCACCCAAAACAGTATTTAAACACTAAGATAGCAGGAAAAAAATCCCACCTTACAACAGTTTGAGAGCACTGGAAATATCCCAATGCAAGAACAAGGGCAGCACTGCCCCTMTCAGGTCTATGCACATACCAAGATATATAACATATCAACAGCAAAACATACTTCATAAGGCCCTGTATACTGGCATCTGGCTATTGTCTTTTCTGCAGTTTTTCATTCCTATAAACCTCCACAAAGGCTCAGAAACACAATTTTACACAGTAAGCTTCTAACACCGCTAGCAAAGATATCAGAGATCTTGTAAGCCCTTYGAGATTCTGTCGATTCTCAGACACAAAAAGGCTACACATTTATCAGTATCTTAACAATAGCATTATTTTTACAAGGTTTGAAATTGAACTGTAATCACCTTAAACCTAGAGAACTATTATATTCACAGTAGTTAATACCTTATTCTTAACATCTAGACAGCTGGGCTTTGTTTACAAAGAACAGTCATCTCTTTCTAAACACTTACAAATTAAAGAAACAAGAAAATCATAAAACAGCCAAACTTGAAGAATGACCACTTCTGGCTCAATACTCAGACTGTTGTCAGGTAGGAGCAACTGACACAAAAATCTCCAGAAAATCTTCTCCCAGGCTTTTAGTTAGTTAAAATCTGTTTTTATCAAACTGGTGCGCTGGGGTGCTCTCAGTATGCTCGCACTGCCCCAGATGCTGTTTCTTCTGATCAGAATTTCTCATGTGAACCCCAGTCTGTGCACAAGTTCAATGGGCCACCATGAAGTACACCACCAAGGACTTTCAAAGGGAGAAGCAGATGTGAATTTGGTATATAATTATTTGCAGAAACGGTACCCAAGATACAATTAAGGCATGCTTAGCACCATGCAGTTTAACCACCATGAGGATAAACAAAGAAAATGCAACAGTTGGCTTTTAGCTTCAGAGCTTCATTGTCTGATAAACCAGGGATTAAGAATTACAGMTAGAAGGGCTGGATACATCTTGATGAGATTGCACTGCATCTTCCGCTCCAGACCCATGCCAAGGACATCAGACAGTAGGATTACACACAGCTCCCTGAGGAACTCTCATCTCCAGATAAAACGTGAGCCATTAAACATTTCCCTGAGCCAAATAACCCAGGCACTTTCTTACTTACCCAGCAGCCCACCTGTCAAAATGTAACAACTCAAAGTGGACAGAAGAGTGCTGGAGGAGACTAAGTTGAAAGTCTTGCCTTGGGGTGAGGCAAAAGATATGCATAGTTTTGCCTCATTGATGCATCCACTATCACCATCACAAAAACAGGCTGGTCAAGCACAATTACTGCTGTTTAATTTATGCTGGCTACTMCCCACCACCTTCTTCTTTTATGTGCACAAGAGTTTAAGAAGACTCACTCAATAACTCTCTCACAGATCAGTGTGAGGTTGACCAATCTGTAGTGATTCAGAACACTGTTCTTAACCATTCTGAATATGAATGCAGTATTTTCCTTTCTTTGGTCATCATGGTTTACCTCTAATCTCAAAAACCTTTCAAAGATTATAGAGAGCAACCTTACTYTGACACTGGTCAGTGTCCTTGCCACTCTCAATGCAGCTTCCAAACACCAGATTTGGGTCAAGAGGATGATTAGATTTTCTCAAAAGATGCTTGATTTTGTGCTCAGCCATTACTTGTCATTCTCCTCCTTGAACTCTCTCTCTGAAGATGCAGGCCTGGGAGACACTGTCAGTGAAGAACTCAAGTCTCAGCCTCGTCGTGTTGGCTGTTACTGATCTGCCCAGTCCATTCAGCACACGTTCACATTTTCCTTGTTTATTCCTGTACAGCTAAAGCACTGGAAGTTTTTTTGAGTGGTGCTTGATATCCCTTTCTTCTTGTTCCTCAGATCCAGGTGTGCTTGACTTTTCTGAGGCCATCCCTACACGCGTGGATCATGTGTCTACATTCYTCTTTTGTGACCTGTCCCTGCTTTCACCTCCTGTGTGCTGCCTTTATAGGTCAGCTCACTCAGCAGTTTGCTTTCAGACAGTGGGGTCAGTCTCCTGTTACATCTCTTCACATTCCAGGATGCACCATTCTTGTGCTTAGAGAATGCTCCATCAAAACTCAGCAGCCTTCTGCAGAAGATTCACTTTTCAGAACTGCCTTCCTTTGCATCCCACCTGCCAGTCCCCCGCATAAGCCCAAAATCTGCTCTCTTGAAGTCTAGGATATTCACTTTACTCTGCTACTTGCCATCCTCACCTCCATTACGATTTAGAGCCCACTGTTTCGTTCCTTAACAAACTGCCAACAAAAATCCCGATGTTTATTGAGCAGTCCATTGACAATACTGCTGTGCCCTCTAAGAGAGTCAGAATTGATCCCTGGGCCTGCGCTGCACCCTCAGACAAAGCTCTGCAAGTCTGCAGGCACCACGCATTCAGCTAAGCCAGGGAAACAGCTCAAGTGCTGAGGACAAAYCTCTGTAGGCACCTACAGAGTATTCCCTCCCTGAGGAATATCCTGAGCAGCATCCAGGAATCAGCAAGCTCTGCCAAAATCACACATGTGTTCTATTAAAACACTGAATATTGCATTCTAGAATACAGCGAAGACACGAGAGGAAAATGTCCATCATGAACTCTTTATACATACGTACCAGGAAATAATTTTCTGATGAAATATAAATAGCACTACATAATTCATCTAAAACTACCTTAGACAGTTGTCACCAACCAGCCCCTACTGACACCGCACCAGAAGCTTCATTTTCCATTAATTAAATACCAAGCCTGACTCTTACACCACATGTAAGGGACCAAATGTGAACAATCCCTTAGCTGATAAAAGGCTATCTTCTTCTAGACAGGTGCTCACCTCGGAATGCTTGTCAGGTAGGTCAGGACATTCTGAAACTCTTTCTCAGGGATCTCGCTGAAAGCTGGATAGTCTGGAAAGGTGATAACAGGGCAGCCATCTCCCCCTCTTCCACCTACAAAAGAAGCAGCAAGTGTGTTTACATGCAAGTCTCTTTACCTAGACTAAAATTTCCCAGTAGCAAAACAACTGTGTGTGGGGTTTTTGGGTGTTGTTTTTTTGGTTTTTTTTTTTTTTCTTTCTTTCTTTTTACCGGGCTCATGTGTGACAGTTTATTTGGAACAGTCTCTTTCCCCTTCAGTGCTTAGAAAGTTTAATAGAAAGGAATTTGTTCCACCACATTCACATTAGATTTTAGTTGGACAAACGCCTTGGCTCCTGTAACAGTTCTGACACCAGATGGCAGTGCATCTTTCTGCTGATAAACACCAACTGCATGTAAGTAGAACCAACTRGGAGAAAGAAATCAACTCATTTTGAAACAAAAAGAAGTTAATTCTGAATTAATTAGKCAAATTTATATMTTGAACTGAACTCAACCTTCTTACSAGTTTTAACTCATTCATGCAACACACCCCCTACCCTGCTCAGTTGGCTGCTCTGCTTCCAGGAGTGCGAAACAGAAGGGGCAGAACATTAAAAGAAATGGGTGTAGGTGTTTCACATRAGACCTTCCATTCCCAGATTCCGTGCAGAAGGTAAAGCAGAGCTGAACACCTACACCACAGTAGGGCTGCTGCTGAACTAGACACCAGTAGATGTATCTTCCCTGGCATTTGCACCAAGGGGTAGAATTCATTGCTGGGTAGAATTCACAGACACAATGCTTCCTAATGCACTTCACACACATTCTTACAAGCAAAATGTAATTATTTCTTTTAAAAGGCATGTTAATGTTTCATGTCTTTAGCAATTCATAAAGACAGGTAGGACAAGGGGCTTGCTGAGCCCTAGCAACTGCATGAAGGTAAGTGTTCAAGGGTGGCAGGAACACATTGCTGGGAAGTTATCTTTGYTTCACAATTTAAAAAGAAAAACAAAGAAAAATTACTCTTGTAAAATAACAARGATATTATTTCCAGCCTTGAAATCTGGTAGTTGTGCAAAAATCAGCATAAAACTGYATTAACAACACCCATTATGAGTTAACAGTGATTTGTGAGGATTATTATAAAGTTCCAGTGCYTTTGTATCTAACCTCACCAGAAAAAGAAGAGAAATATTTGACCTCAGATTCATTTGATAAAAAGAATCATAACCTCCCTCAAAACCATATGCAATTAGAAGAGCTCAAGTAGTATMTTTATGTAAATCTGTGGTGGATCTGCCTTCCAGTTACCAGCTTACAGACAACATGGTGCTGTCACTGTGAAGCTCTTGCAATCAAAATATGTGAGAAACGAATGTGCTCTGTGTGCATGTGARCAACAACAAAATGCAACTATTATGCAAATATCACATGTTTGCAAACATGACCTTTATGACACATCCAAACATGGCAACACTGAGTCAAGAGAACTAATTTTAGCTATACAAATATTCACAACACAAATAGAYGCTAAGACCAATTTTGATTCTATTGTTTTTTGTTCTGCCCAGGCTCTCAGGACTAAAGCATTTTCCTCTCTTGTTAAAAGCATGATAATGATTATTTCTGTCGCTTATGAGGTGTTCTGCTCTCTCTAGAATGACTATTTTTAGGTACAATCATACATTATTTGTAGTATCTTCATCAGTTACTCGCTTTGTTCTACTTAATTTCTATAAATAGGACRTATGAAACAAAAGAACAACAATAGACTTGCAGGACACATCCTAAARGCAGAAGCCTGGACTGTGACCTTCAGGAAGTTCCCAGACCGCCACCGATTGTCAAGGGCAAACAGAGCATCCTGCCTTGAAACTGCCTATTAGTTTTCATTTTCAGTACAGTCATCTGTGGTTATCTTGGGTGGAGATGACTCTGCCCCAAGCTCCTAGAAGGTTGTTCTTCAGTGATTATCTTTTTCTTTGGTGTTTCCCTGCTGGGACACTTGAGCACACATCCCCTTCCAAATGTTAAACTGCTTTTCCTATCAGAACCCTGCTGCTCAAGAGATTTTAGGGCAGAGTGAGGGAAAAATACAAAAAGAGCAAATTGTACAGCAGCTAAAAACCACACACACAAGTGCACATGCACACACACACACCCAAAGAAAAGGGTAATTCCTCACAACCCTGTGAAAGACATCCTAGTTGTTTGGGGTTTTGTATGGGCAGCTGCAAAGAAATTGCTCAGATTTACTTCTAGGAAGGATGAGTAGGGGATTATTTTGTAATGTTACCCTAACTGGAAACATTTCCCTAGTCTGCTCCTGCTTGCATTAAAAAAGGTATTCTCAAAAATACTCTGACCACCCCCACAAAAATGAATTGATATAATTAGATGACAGAGCAAAGAGTCTTTTGGCCTGATTCTATAATGCAAATGAAATATATTTGGACTATAAGAAAAAATATGATCTCTGTGTTGATCAATGTGCACACACAAGATCCAAGAGCATTTTCCTTGTTGAAGGGCTCAGATCTACAGCTTCAGTTCAAAAGACCCTGCTTAAAAGCAATCTTGTTCGTAGTCATTTCAAAAGTGAAGTCCTCATATAACTGAAAGAAAAGTTTTCTTCAGATATTTTTTACTATTGTAGTCGTTCATCCATTATGCTTGTGCATTTCTGATAAGGGATTTCTCCTTTCTGCTTGCATAATATACTTAACTGGAGAACTCAGTATTTGAAATTATATGTAGACTTCAGCGAGGGAGTGGATAAAAGCTTCACTGTGTATCCTTTGCAAAGAAAAACAGATTTAGGAGGAATTTATTAAAATGTTCTTTTCTTGAAACGAGAGAGAAGTTTTACTTGTRTAACTTCATAAGCTGCATTTTGCCCAGGCTAATCAGCAGCAAGTCTACTGGCTTAAAAATTGGATTGCAATRACCAAATTTACATCTAAACATATTTGAACTAAAAATCTCTTAGCCAAAGATTCTACTCACTTTTTCCTTTTTCCCCTTTCTCTTTACTACATTTTTGGTRTGCTTTTTAAAATAATCTGTACAGACAGAAGATTTAGCACAGTGATTAAAAAAACAATAGTTAAGCTTACATCTTAAGGCAAAGACTGCTAAGTAATATCTATTCCACTGTCCATACACAACATAGATACTGTCTATATTATATCAGCAAAAAAAATCAGGCTGTTTTAACAAACTGTTGCAATGTAAGTGGTACAGGATCCACTCAGAAATTCTCAAACAGACACAGCAGCCCAAGCTACTTCAGTGGGAGCAGTGACCAGTGAGGAGCAGACAGGTCATGTCCACAGAGGAGAKCAAGAGCACATCAAAGTAAATAGTTACAGAAAGCTAGAAACTTATTATTTAGAATGATAAAGGTATAATYGGAYATGTTTGTATTTATAAATCAAAGAYAGAAGATTTTGAAAGTTAGTATCAATGCAAAATTTTTCAGAGGCAGAAGAAACAGCTAGGAATCAATAGACAGAAATGCAAATAGCATGAATTCATATTTGTATTTCCTTTAATGGAAATTCTTTGAAGTTGTTCAATGCATAAACAGGCATTCAAAGGAAATGGAGTTGAAATAACTGGTTCAGTTTTCATGGTGGCCAAGAATCTCATTWGCACATCACATAGCTTGAATGATTTAAGGTTCATATCAACACACCCAATCTGTCTGTGTGCTCTTCCTCRTCTACATTTATTTTAACACACCTGCACACTGCCATGGCAGACAGACACAAGGCTGGGTGGGTATGAAAGTCACACAGCACTCAGGGAAAGAGAAGACACTTATGAAGGAAAATACAAAACATGAATGAAAGACTGTGAGGAATACGTAAGGAATACATTTTCCAGAAACTTTGAAACAGACCTCGCACTGTCCTCCATGGGATAAAGAACAAAAAAAAAAAAAAAAAAAAAAAAAAAGGCAGAAGACCCTTCTCAATGCAGAAGAAAAAGTGGTTGCATGAATAGTAACTAAAGAAAGCAAAGGTAAGAGGTGAAACAGTGAACCATGTAGACACAACACTTAGTATAGCCTAGCAACAACAAAAGAGTAAAAATTCTAGTAAAGATAAGGACCTTGCTCCACAGAAAGGAAAAACTCCAAGGCAAAAAGTAAACAACTGTGCCTGAGGTAAAATATTAACTTCAGGGTTCATAAACTTTCTGTGTGAATGATTGATTACAAACCTCATCCATAGCTTGCSCCACCATTAGATTCAAGCTGAACACTTGACTGCACACTCGTTGCTGAGCAAGAGCGAATCTGTAGGAGTAGCTAGAACCTTGATTTCATTGCACTTTGATATATTTACTGACAAACTGAAGCAATAGTGGAAGTTTTCGCTTTATTTTGTTTCATTTCAAGTTTAATTTGGATGTCCCCGTAGCATTTCCATTACAATCTAGTACGAGGGACACAAGTAAGAAGTGACCCTGATTTAGACCAAAACACAGAAAGAAGCTTGGGAGGGGCTACAGCCTTTAGTCACAGAAGCAGCCTAYGTTTCATTCACTATTCAGACAAGTGTCCCATGAGACCTAGATACATCCTATTAGAGAAAYTAAAGCAATTCTCAAGTGCACGTTGACTTGCTGTTAAAAAGACAACATCTAAAATCAGAAATGCATCTAAGACATTCAGCAATACCAGCAAACACACTATTTTACCAAAGGCATTAGTAATCTATGGAATTTAATTTGAAAGAGTTTTATGCCACATCCTAAGATTCTATTTCCAAGGCAACTTAGTAATTAAGTGAAAAAGTCCTATTCACACACACTGGGAATGTCTTAAGTGACCTTAGAGCAAAGCCACTCYGCTCAACTGTAACAACAAATTGTACATAAATCAAGTATCAAAACATTGGCTCTGTTCCTTCATTCACAAAACCTGTAATGCATTATTTGGTACAGCTTAGAGAATTAACCATCTCCTGCAGGAGAACATTAGCATAAAAAACCTGAACTCCAAAATGAAAAGAAATGCCTAACACTCAAGTTGCCTAAAAGTAATAATATACAACAGACAATCTAGTCACAGTAATGCAGCTGACCTACTATTTGAGTCAAATAAAATTCTAATTCACAYGAGGATGAATAAATAGAAGCAACTTGAATGAGGAATGGCTGCTCTTGCTAGCAGGTGTATTGGCTCCAGTGCCAGATGGATTTATTGAGGGCTGAAGATGCTTGTGGACTTGTGCACTCAACAACTCTGCTACCATAGTCACCAATTTCCCCCCTCACTTCAGAGAGGCAAAATATAACCTCTACTTAGAGTTTCACAGATAGGCTGATTCTTGCCTAACACTCTGATGAGACATTTTCTGCCCATGGATAAGAATGAGCTTGGAAAGTCAAAATAATAAACTTGCAGTGAAGAATTGTAGCTTAAACACTGTAACTCAAATGAAGCATGAACAACCAACTTCATAAARAAAAATCTTACTTTCCAAGTGCTACCACCACCCCATAGAAAACACAGTCACTGTTGCAGACCCACAGTTTAGCTTGTGTGGCAAGCTAATTATTAATCATAATTAATAGTTAACTATGAGTACAAGATTCAGTGAGCTCTTGCCAAGCAAAGCAGTACATTGTTTCATTCTCTTGTGTCTCTTGACCCCATGCAGGATGGGACTCAGAGGGAGAGGGAACAGTCACAGAGCCCAGCTGCAGCTCAAGAGAAGGGAATTCCCTTTATGCTGAAGGATGCAGGGCAGCTCTGCAAAGCCACTGATGCTCTCCTTTTCTGTGTATTGGAGAGAGGGCAGGACAGGGCCAGAACTCCAGCAAGTTTGCTGCTACACACCTGCAAGGACTTTTACAGGCAGGAAGATGGAGAATAAACTCAGAAAGTGATCAGACACCTCCCAGCCAGCCTGATCAGTGAGCAAAGGCACTATCTCCCTTTGCCATTATCAGCCAGCTGTGGGCTCAGTGTGGAAAAGGACCAAGCTCAGTAACCAGCACTTGCATGGCACAAACACGGGTCCCCAACACWGACCTGGCACAGGTGACCCAAGGCAGGGACGGTGTGAAAGTGGCTGTGCTGCTTTTGCAGGTGGCCTTACACCCAAAMGCAGGTTCCTTTGCAGAAGGCAATCAGTGACACCAAGCCAAAAATCCTGTCCAGTGCTCAATACTGCTCTTATCTGAGYCCAGCACTGAGGCTGTGGGTGAACATCCTACCATGGTGCTTGCTCCACCACTTTGGTCAAGATGAAGGTGTCAGCTTGGGCTTYGRTATCAAACATGACAGCAGAGCCCGYGGCAGCTGGGGCTGTGAGCTGAAGACTGCAAGACAGTAGCAACCACCAGAACATCCTTGCTGGAATCTCCAGTTAACTGGAAAATTAACTAGAATTTTTAMATTTCTATTGTATGTTTAAAAAATCTTTTAATAAATCCTTAAATAACAAATCTTGATAGGCTGCATTTTGAGTTACTCATTAATTTCTCACGTAARAGACCTCACAGACTGTGAAAGGACAGCAGGCTAAACCATGCATCTAAGCAACATGTACAGGAAGGAACACCATAATCTTACCTGACAGATAAGCAAATTGTTTCTTTAATTGGTCCTGAATATCTGCAGCATAGAGTGGAATGATATCCTGATGCATGATTTCATCTGTGGAGAGAAAAAAAAATTTGCATTGCAAAGTTATTTTATGTAAAATTTCACAGCAGACATTAAAAAAAATCATCCCTAGAACACAAACACTCAGAAACTGCCWAACTTCTGAAAAATACATGAAATTCTTTGCAGTCTTTTAAGTGTTTGTCAAGGGCAAACTTTTCTTTGAATAGCAGACTAATAAAAGAGGATCTACATTTACTGACATTTAGAAGCCGTACAGAACTTTCACTGAAAAGAACACTGTAGAACTAATATTTCTCTGCAATGATGTTAAATAGTAGGATTTTTACACACTGAATTCAATTTTAATTAAAATCTTCTCAATTCAAACAAAACCAAGAAACTTATGATTTCTCTAGCCTGTCTTCTAGAGTCAAATACCCCAAGATAACAGCATTAAATAAGAAAGATAGAAGTGGCTTGAAAGTACATCCTCCCCTTGAAAATACACATACACACACACATTCTACCTCAACACYGAAAAGCAGTGCTCAAGCTTTTATCTCAGCCCTTCCACTTCAGCTTAATGACAACCATAACGTTTTCCCAACCCTTGATTTTCTGTCTCAGTGTTTCAGTAAAGGCATTTCCCACAGCATGTTTCCAGAGGTCAAGCAGAAACCTGATTTTTGCTGATCATGACAAAGACTGCAAGACAGACTTGTGTCATTCATAAACTATGATCTAATTTTTCWCAAGGAAACCAGAAGTTTTACACTTCTGCAATTTGTGAAAAATAATTGTTCCACATATTAACCTCACTGAAAARTAGAGAAGAGATAACATAGCTTTTTCTTTATTTGGTTATGAACTTTTCTTTTAATCTACATTGTACTGACATTGAAGTTTTTTGYTTTAATGTAGTTTGAAATGCCATTAAGATAGGCTCTGGCACTCAGAACTGTGAATGTGCACAGGAAAAGTAAGTAAAAGCCTAAAGCTGATGTAAGGATAAGTGTCACCTGAAGTACAAGGTGAAGTAAAGCTCTGACCCACAAAGACTCTCTGTCACTGAGGCCTTTCAAATGCTATATCATGAGCAGACAGACACTTCTATGACCAATTCTCGCACATGTAAAATTCAGAGAAATGCAATTATTTGAGAATAGCAAAAAAAGCCACTTTCAGTTTCTTCTTCCAGATAAGCAACATCTTATACTGAGAAACAGAACTTCTCTGTTCTCTGTCATCCCGTTGGACAGAGGAAGACCCTTGACCACTTTCAAGGTCACACACTGATCAGAGCTATTTTCCTGTATCCGGAGAACTGCTGTCTGATCAGGAGACCTCTGCATTCCATGCTGTCAAATCCATAAGTGGATACATTTAACTGTCAAGTCATATTTCACCCAGAACTTCAGTTATGTCACCATTTTCATTTTAATGTTTTCAACAGAACACTGAACACAGATCTTTCAAAAATCCARTCCCAGATGGCCAAGGAATTTCCAGAAGAGGAATACCCCAATYCCCCAAAGGAAAAAGGATTTTAGATTTTCTTTTTGCTGTCTGTGGTTTATAATACAAGGAACCCTCCTGCAGCAGTGTTTAAAAAATTATATTGCAGCCCTGCTTCTGCAAACCAATACCTGCAGGTGGACCCATTAACCTGAATGTAAACTGTTACAGGATCAATGCCTGGTTTTGGTGGGAGATGGGAAAAGGGAAAATAATATAATCAATYTATAAAATGCCATTCTGCCTAAAGTCACAGGCAGACAAAATTTTTATTGCACAGCATTGCACCCTAAATGTATTGTAAAAGAGTTAATTTTTGCATATATAAGTAAATACATGACAYACAACACCCAAGAATGTATCATTCATAAGGATCACTATTTCCTCATGTACCCCTGTGATCAATCCCACTGCAATTCAGGCAAGTGCCATGTGAATATCCAAGTCCAGATTTGATTGCTCCCATGTTCCTTCCGATAAGAGCAGCAGCTTTTACCACCTGCACAATACTGCTTCACTGAAAAGACAGTACTTTCCTCCCCTTAGTTTTAAACTCAGTTTTAGACTCAAGTTTTTACTCAAATTTAAGAGCCCATCTATTTGCAAGTCGAGGAGCAGCACAATGTGGCCACTGACAGACATCAAACTGCCCTTTGYGCTGCACTCCCCTCCACCAAAGCACATCCCATCCTGCTCTTGCTGATTTGGTTTCAAGACATGCTTCTAAAAGCCATGCATGCATTAAGATCAGAGATGATGTTCAATAATTTGAAACACCCAAGATAAAAAATAGCAGCACAAAAAAAGTGCAAAGAAGTGAAACTCTTGAAATTGCCAAACATGCCACATCCAGCAGCTCAACTGTCTACACTYGAACCCACTATCACTACCCATAGATTTAGCCAGAAATCCCTCTTCAAATCTYGGTATCCTTCAGAGGCAATGCAATTGTAAAAACTCATTGCTCTGCACCATTTCCTTGACATTTAGCATCCCTCAGAAAAGCAGAGYTCATCACAGTCTGTTTGGGGTTCAATCTGATCTCACTTTAAGGCTGCCCATCATTACTTGAATATGCTGTTTCTTTTAACAGGATAAGGCAGCAAAAGGCACACATGCTAAATAGACTGTAGAGCACACACTCCTTACTCTCACGGTCTTTGGGAAAAATATTTTCTTGGAAATATTCTTCAAATAGAGAACCTGCACCCGCTACATTCTTTAGGGACAATTTCCATTTTTGTAAAGCTAATTAGGTGCACATTAAAATACAGAATTACTGAAAACTCCTCGCTGTTTTCTAAGGATTTTTAAAGGATCAAATTCCACTTGCACTTGAATAGATTAAGATTCACACAGCCCATTATTTTTCCTGTTCTACCTTTACTACTTTACATAGTATTTTCAAAGCAGAGACCTAAGAGTCTGCCTATTTTGCCAYATCCAAAATTAATTGCTGAAAATAGTTGCTCATTTCAAAACATGCTTGAATATCCTGTCTTTCTTGAGAAGCTTATTTAAGAAGCTTAAAAGAAAGCCCCAGGGAATTACAGTGCATCTGGTATTGTAGGTGATGATAAGCAGCAAAACAAGGTTTTCTACAGTTAATACTGCTTTTTTTTTATTACTATTTTTTAAGCCCCAACACATAAAATAGCTGGRAATGTGTAAAGATTTTTTCTAATCTGACAACTGGAGGCTCTTTAAACCGCCCTCTAAATTATCTGGTATTGAAATTATGAGAGTAAGAGAGGGCAGAAGTGTCAACGTATAAAGGAATCAGTTCAATATATGGTTCTCATTACAAAGAAAGACTTTGTCACTAAAAATGGGAACCACAATTTTACAGATATATAATCTTCTAATTCAATTTAAATCTTGCTTTGATAGTCCTGTCTCAGGGATAAAGGATGATGCCTTAAAGGGACCTGACTCCATCCCATCAGAGGCACCTGGCTGCATTTCAGATGAAGCAGGATGACAGATTTAAGCACGAGGGCAGAAAGATAACTTGTGCTTAAATTACCCAGTGCCAGCAAGCCCTGAAGAACCTGGCATCTGAGAAAAYGATCAATGTCACTGCAGCCAAGAACTTCCCTTATTGATAAAARGCTCCTCTTTCTTTTCCAGTCAAACTAAAACTCATCATCATTTGCAGTTTGTCYCACATGCTGAAGCAAACCCATTTTCACAGAACACAACACTGGAGTGGGCCCTGACCTGACTGTGCCCACATTACACACCAGGAAGTCTCCTGACATGACTCGTGAGCCTCCTGTAATGTGTTTAATACACATTAAAGCTCCCTTTGAGTAGTTCTGCAGGAAATTCTGTGGCCATTACTTTAAATCAACTTGAAAGCCAACCTATTTGTACACATCCGGACACAGTTACGCCCTTCAGATCCCAGCAGCACACTAGAAATCAAATGACAAATAATTTTCTCCCTCCTCCTTCTTGCTGAATCGTCAAGACCTCATGAAAACTTGTCTATGGCTTCTCTGTAAAATGCATGCCTTAAATTGAAGAAATAATGTATTTTTCTTAAACAGTTTTGTTTTGTTTCTCCTTTGGAACAGCTTACCCACTCAAAGAGTGGAATGCCTTTTACGAAAGGGGTCTTAATTTGAAAAATTTCTTCATTAACCCATCCTCCCATCTGGTAATTATAAATGAAAGATAATGACTTTCAGAGCAATCCCTTCATCTCKCTGAGCCCCAAGGCAAATCTTCCATTTCCTCATTCTTCCCTCTTCATCTTCGCCCCCCGACCACCACCAACAGTCAGCTCCTTTGTGTAGCCCCCCAAGCAGGAAGGGCCAGAGCAGCAGAGCTGGTGCAGAGAGCCCTCTTCTGCTCTAAGCCACCTAAAACTAATGAGCTGCTCAAGATGCCAAGTGAGCTTTCCAGCTTTAAAACCGAATTTTAAAATCACTGCTGATTAGTGATGAGGCCTGCAAGCCCACTGCTCAGTATGCTCAGGCACAACAGCTGCAGACGACGCTCCTCAAGTTTTCATGCTATTTGTAGCCRCACTGGGCTGATGACAGGAATTTATGCAAGTGCTCATAAACTAAGATTTCAAACCTCACCAGTTCAAAATACCTTCAGGAAGAGTTCAATTTCATTTGATTACACCGTCGTCAAAATGACGGACCAGGAAAAGCAAGTGAATAAACTTGAGAAATTTTCATGCAAAACACAATTCTCTGTTAAAGTGTAGTTGGGAAGGAAATTATCACTCAGGCAAAACAGTGCTTTCGCAACTTGTATGTTTCTGGTGAGTTAAAATATCCTAAGCAAGCAGMAAATGCAAGTTCTTTGGCTCTACCAGCATTCCAGTTGCTGGCACAAAGAGACAGAAAACAATTAGTGCTCCAAACAGCTTCATATGACACTGAGTGTCTAAATAAACATTTAAAATTATATTGTTACATACCAATTTTACCTATAAAAGCTTTGCAGCCAAGCTACATCTCCCATTTCCTCTCCTAGTCAGAGAAGACTATTTCCACCCAAGAGCCCCAGTACAT